CCCGCTAATACATGTCTACAGACAATGGAACACGTCTTTCGGTACGCCTCAGGTCCAACCACAGCCTTCGACGCTGCCTCCCCAGTCCAATTCGCTTAGTGTTTCTCCGTCTTCAGGTGCACCCGAAGCCCCGTCTCTCCAAGACATTCAGGCTGTCAATGCTACTCTCCCTGTAGCCTCTCAACAGTTGGCGCAACAATATTCTGCAGCCCCCGTGCAGACCTTTGTCTCGCCGGCGATGTGGCAGGAGTCCGTGGCCAGTGTCTACGAAGGCGGTCTCAAGCGGGCCTGGGATTACGATGGCGGTGGTCCTATGATGAAACGGCGATGAGCCGTTTCCAAATTGATTTTTGCAAAGCTACCTAACCTTCTTGTCGGCAACATATACGGGGTGTTTTACAACTTTGGTATAGCGACGACGATTTACCGGTTCATAACAACACTCGCCAGCCTACGGGGTGCCTCCACGAACCGCCTCTGGACCGACGAATAGGTGCCCCTTTCAGCTACAGCGATTCACGTACATATCTTGAATTTTTGCTTTATACGGTCCTTGTTCGCCTTATACACGGTTTATCCTCGCGACGAAATACTATGTACACGATTACGATGAAAATGAGGAGGAGGGGATCACAACGGAAGATCCATGTCGGGCGCCGGCGTCACTCATGCCCCTTCGGAAGCATGGCCCCCAACCGGGAATGGGGCTCCCAAGAGGCTTTTGTTTTTTCGGGACGGTGCGAAGAAAGAGAGGGAGGGAAGACTGGCGAAGCGGTGTCCTGGTCTGTATTTCTGGACTGTATTACTATATTTGGCATGTTGCCTCATGACGGAGCCAACGACGCGGCCCAATTCGGCTCGGCGTACGGACGGCGCTCACCTTGGCATCGCGAACGAGGAGTCCTGTTTGCTTACTATCACATCCATGGAAAGGCCCAAAAAAGTAACTGTAAGAGGAGAGAGAGACAGAGAGAGAGAGAGAAGAGTTTCTTTGCTTCCATTGACTTGGACCGATCAATACGGACATGATACCACCCTGCGCGCGCATACAAATTCAATCCACCTAGCAATGTGAAGTGAAGAAGACGCCGGCAAAACGAGAGGCAACCCGCGGAAACGGACATTCGCTGCATCGTTTGCTTGGCAAGCAAGGAGTACGACGTTTGGAGGGGTGTGGGACGGGAAGTCGACAATGGGTAGATCTGAGTGGTGTGTATGTGAGGTGCCCGAGGTGAGAGAGGCTCCTACCGGGAAGTCCCCAAAGCGGTCGCAAAGTCTCGCTATTGAACGAGTTGATTGGCCACGGCATCTGATGTTGACATGTTCACAGGGTTCATTCAGCCGCACGTTGAGAAGACTTGTCCCCCCAAATACACTTTGCATAAGCAGATGGTCTCAACTTCCTTCGAGCGCGGACGGACTTTGGCATGTACAAGCAGAGGCAAAAAAAAGACGTTTTGCCCTTACAATCTCACACCACAAGCCCCTAGGTTGTCAGAAGGCGAAGAGAAAGGAGCCTCCACTGGAAGCAACGATGAGCCTTGACGGGGCAAACGGGCTGACCGACAGGTTCCAAGTGAGGTCAAGGTAGGTATGTCTCGGCGGTCGGCAAAAATAAGCGTTCACATTTGTTTTGGGGCTGCACGACGGGTGGCAGATATACCTACTCCGTACGGAGTACTTGCATCTGACCTCGCTTATACAGCAACATGCAGTACTCACGACTGCCCGATTTATCCCACGCAGCCGCCTCACGAAAAATGTTACCTGTTGCCGTCGGCTATTCCGCCCTCGTAGATATTCCGCCCTCGTAGAGCACGCCGCATCGCAGACGGAGCCTAGAGATGGAGAGATGGAGAGAGAGAGAGAGAGAGAGAGAGAGTAACGGCACGGAAGCCGGGAGTCGGATGTCGGGGTATTTGTTCGGAAAGCTCTGAATAGTAGTTTCGAGTCTCTTTTGATCGGCGAGAGAAAGTGTGGGGAGCAGTGACATTCAATGGGGGACCCTTGAGCCAGGGCCCAAGGGAGAGAGAGGGGAGGCCATCGTTTAGAAACTTCAATGTGGTGAGACGGTTCAGTCACGAGCTTACATCACCGCTGACGAAAACCGCATAATTTAGCTTCTTCTCGTCGTCTTCTGCTTCTGCTGCTGCTTCGCTTCGCAATGACGACGATTGCCGCTGTGGTTTGCCGTTGGTAGCATTGGACGATTGCCGCTACGCAGTGTACCGTAGTGTAGGGTTGACGACGGGTCCTGGGTGTTTCCTTTACACGCAGGAGAAAAGGTTAAAATTGACACCAAAAAGAAAGAGTGATGGGCAGGGTCGAGAACAGTCCATGTTCGTCACTCATTTGAACGACGGGGGACAGGGAATGAGGATGGTGAGTTCAAAAATTTGGAGTCTTTTTTGGAGAGACATCGCGTGGGTAGGTACATGTGTACCAGATCGACGAAGGACTTGGGTTCACTGCAGTCTGCACCGCGCTGGCATTGCATGGGTACCTCAGGTAGATGCTGGTAAGATGGTATCTGTGCCTCGTGTTTCGCAGCCGGGACCAGGTTCGTTCGGGTCGGGTTTGATGAAATTCTCCAAAGTGATGGATGGCGGGAAGGAGAGATGTTTGGAGATGTTGGAGATTTGGCCCTTGCCATACCGCGATACATCCAGTAGGGCAGGTAGTACGGAGCGTGGGAGTAAGTACCTCCCGTATCTGACAGCCTTTACCTGAGGCCCTGAGTGACGTTGTTTCGTGATAGGTCGCTATTAGAGTTTGGCATTGGCACGTTTCCCAATATTTTGCGACGATGGTCGCCTACGAATATCTAGTGTACCAAAATCCCGTAGGTAGTCCCTCTCTTTAGGCCGCGCAACGGACAGACCGGGTTCCTGTATCGCCGATGTAGGTGTGAGATGCGTGGGAAAGTTGACGCAAGAATATGCGTGGCTTGCAGGATGAGGGGTTTGAATCCTCTGAAAGAGAGGGGGGTGCAAACTGCAAAAGACTGGATGAAGAGGGCACAAGACATTCCAGGATGTCTATCCCACATGCATACCATCTGTGATCTGGGACATGCAGGTCCAATAGACTCGAATCTTGCTTCCATTTTCATCGCATCTTTTTTTTGTATCTAGGTAGTCTGGGAAGGATCTCACCACCAAACGGGTTTCCCCGCTTCTGTGATCCTTTTCCGTCCTATGTTTTTGAATTGCGTTCTTCATACTTTCTTGTTGGGATTGAGGTTTCTCGGCGTGGCCGACGGTGAAGTTTGGTGATGCCGTTTTGGAATGCGTGCTCGCATCCTCGACGTGCGTCTTGTTGTTTCGGACTTTAAATGCCCCCCCCCCTTCCCTTCCCTCCCCTCCTTCCCTCCCTCGTGGACTTTGCGAAACATGACACAAGCATAATCGTAGAGATACGTACTTACTTAGTAGCTCAGTAAGGTAGACACAATTTCATCTCTACTATTGAGTCCCGATTTGCTCGACGGGTAGATTCGTGACTTACCCGGGCGTTGACATCCCGGTCTCCGAGTATACGCCTACTTGCATCGGGATGATAGGGTGATCATTATGCGCTGCACGCATTCAACTTTTGAATCTCATCGTGTATTTTGCGGGATGGTACCGGATGCGCTGCCGGATACCGGGTTTGAGGAAAGCGTAAAAGGAAGGTTGATAATTCTCTCAGGTAAAAAGTACACGGTGAGGCAGCGACAATGAGGGCGTGGGCAATTCCAGAGATATGGGTACCGGTAGTTGTTGGTTTCAAAGGGTCGTTGAACGTACAGGCTACTATACCTTCCATCCCACTGGCACCAACATAGAGGAAGGGGTGGTGGTGTAAGGAATAATGGGGTTACTTCGGAGTTTAATGGTAGGTATATTTCGGGGTTTTGCTCGGCGTCCGGATGCAAATGGGTGTGGTGAGGTACCAGGAACGGTAGCCGTCTTACGGCGGCGGGCCACGGCGACGGCGACGGACGGACGGAGGTGGCCGAAGAGGAAGAGGGCGGCGGTGAGAAGCAAAGCCAACCAACGTATTGTAGAGATGATGGTGGTGCGCGGACGGATTCCTCGCCGTGAGTTTCCTAGTGGTGGTGGACTAGTGGTTGTGACGGCTGGAAATGGGGCTTTGGGGCTGAATAGTGGCCCCGGCAGACGCAGAGTCAGCTCGTTTTCGTTATTAGCCTTGCCGGTTTGTGTGTGTGTGTGTGTTGTGCGGGTTCTAGACCCCTTTTACAGCATGGTTATGGTTACATCTCTCCCCTCATGTCTCTTGACAACCAACAACCAACAACCAACTTTTTGCACTCTACACGAGAGAAGCCCCTAGTTTGGGGGGGTAAGAAGAGTATCGGAGAAGGAGGAGGAGGAGGAGGATACTTGGACATCCCGAGGTTGTCAGCGGCGAAAAACGGGGGCTTCAGAGGCGATGCGGATGGCGATTGCCTCCCGGAACATGGTTCAACCTAGAGCATTTTCTTCTTTTTTTCGCCTCTTATATGGGCTGGGTATGAACACCCTCCACGACGTTATGGATATGTTACGATGATTCGATCCCACCGTTACCGTTGGCCGGAGTCCAAAATAGCTCCTCTTGGGACGTGAGTCCTTGACTCGATCTGCAGATATTGGACTGTGGCGAAATCTGAATGACTAGCGGCAGCACGTCTGCGCCAGGGAAGGGGTGAGGTATCATCTGTCACTTTTTGATTGTTTGATAGTATACAAATCGACGTCGTTTGTCTCTCGACGTCAATATCGAGCGTGATGCTTTACCGCGCGCTCGTGACGAATGCCGGAATTCCCGCGTGGGGTTTTGATCATCCACGCCCTCACCCTCATGAGTGCACACCCTTTCTAGATGCAATGACAGCGCAGAGAGCGTACGCGACTAGCATAACGTGCGTACGTACACTTTTGCCTTCTCTTGGTCTTGCTTGAATCGTACAATGCTACCGTCTCCCTGACCGGCACTTCTCTCTTCTTGACTCGAGAGTCTCGAATACATGGTGGGACGCGCTTGGCAAAGTGACCGTCCCTTCACCCTGTTCACTTGCGCTTACCCAGCGACTCGCGCACAATATTCCACACCCACCCATCGTTGACGCCATGACTAGCGCCCTTGCCGCCGCCACTGGTACTGGCACTGCTGCTCGTCTTCCCGCCCGCCTCAACGCCCGTATTGATACCAAACTGGCCGACGGGGCGGTAATGATACCACCTCCGCTTCGCCATCAGCGCCGAGACGTCCTTGGTATGCGTGACGATGCCGAGGCGCGTGGCCAAGGGCCCGCTGTCCGCGGCCACGGGGCGGAGCTCGGCGGCCGTGACGGCCGTGAGACGGGGACGGGTGGCGAGGCCCATTGTGCCGATCTCGAGCTGGGCCGTGGGCGGGAGGGTGCGGACGTAGCGTTCCAGCAGGGCGCGGGATTGGCGCGCGTAGGGGGGCAGACGGAGGTAGATGTAGGTTACGAAGGGGGCCGAGGTGTAGGCTACGAAGAGGAAGGGGATGATGCCGCAGGCGGCCACTGGTTTAGGGGGAATGGGTGTTAGTAAGTGCTGCGATGGTTTATGGAATATGAGACTCGTAGCTAGTGCTGTGACTGTATGCAACGAATAGAGGAGGAGATGGGGAGGAGGACGGGTGATAGTGAGATGCGATCGTGGTGAACGGTTGAGATAGGGGGTGGAAAGCTTACATCCCGCTGCCTCAGTGAGCGTCTTATCTTCGGCGCGGACGTAACTAGGAGCAGCTACGAAGCAGAAGAAGACGCACGAGAAGACGGTGGTGATTTTCCAAAAGGCCAGAAAGGCCGTCCGACCTGTACCGGCGTGGTAGATGAGTAGTCGCTCAGGCAGTTCTGGTAGGTCATTATTAGCCTCATTGTCCAGACACCGACGACAGTGAGATGAAGCATTATGCTACGGATCATCGAGTGATGGGTCTGCTACTCACGTGGGTTCCCGGCCCGGGGACCGGCAGAGCCTCCGGCGCCGGCTGACTTCGGGTTCGGTGGTGTGGTGACGGCCCGAGGACCGGTGGTCGGCGGTGGTGGTGCGGAGGCAAAGGGCCGTCTCAGGCTACATTGCTGGTTCTGAAGAAGAGATTTCCGGAGGGCAGGGCGGAGAGCGCATTGGCGTATCGTGGGGAAGATTCGTATCGTTTGTGGAGGCTGCCGTATTAAGGCGAGCCGTAGAAGGGACATTGTGAAGTTGTCCGAAGGGAAAGGGGGTGAGTGAGCAAGTGAGAGTGAGATGGGTGGTATAGCGAGCGTGGGAGGTTGATGATGAGATGAGAATGCTGAGGTCGGATGAGGTCACTGCACGTATCTACCCGGTACCAAATAATTTTTCCCCACGCGACGCGACTTGACTGAATCGGTCTCCAGCGCCCGGATGGTGTACGACATTCCAACATCGCCGAAACTCATGAGAAGGATAACAATCAATCGTCACAATTTGGAATTGGCATGAATTATTGTTTCTTCTTATTTGATTGACTCTCGGACTCAAGTCGGCTATGCTAGGTTGAATGGTTGACGTGACTGAAGACCGCTAACACGAGAATCCAACTTGGAAACCCTGCCAGATTCCCTACTAGCTAATAGAGCACCAACAGCATCTCATCGTCTCAAAGCCGGTGATCCCGCGCCGAACCTCGCCGCCCTTCAAGTCAAACAATGTTCTTCTGAAGCCACTCCTTCCACTGGTCAAGCGTCCAGCCGGAGCTGATCTCGTTGTTGGGGTACCCGTCAAACAGCACCGTGGGGCTGACGTGCACGCCCGTCAACCGCGCGAGCTTGATGAGCACCTTGAAGTCGTTGGTCACGCCGTTGCCGACGTTGAGCGCGCCCTCGGCGTCGGGCTTGTCCGAGACGACGAGCAGGTCCAGCACCGCCTTCTCGTCGACGCCCACGGTGCCCGCGAGCTTGGCGAGGCGCTTGTACGTCTCGTTGCGCGGCTCGTTGACGACGTTGGCGTCAAAGTAGTCCTTTTGCGCCTTGAAAAGGGCGTCGCTGTAGGCCCAGAACTTGGAGGGGGCGACCTTGACGACGGCCACGGCGGACTCGTGAACCAAGGTGCTCGAGGGGTGCCAGGGCTGGACCTGCTGGCGGAAGACGACCTCGAGGTTGGCGGCCCAGGTCGGGTTCGCGCGGATGGCGGGCACGACGGCGTTGTAAAAGGTATTGAATTGCTTGGCGGAGTAGGGGCAGACGTAGTCGAGGTAGAGCTCGATGGTGTGCGGCTGCGCGGGGACGCCATCGGCCGAGGGCTCGGGTTCCGCTCCGAAGGTCAGCTTGTGAGCTGCGAATTTGGGTGGTACGGCCATTGTTGGTGATGTGTAGCGGAAACGGGATGTGGTGGTGGTGCTTAGGTTGCGTTGGAGGCGGGCAGTGTTTCTGCTGGTGAGCGGTATCGTCGGACTTGAGGATGATATGAGTGGGAATAGAGACGACGCAAAGATTGGGCGTCGAGTCAGGTTTAATAAAACGTTCGAGGGGAGCCTCATGGAGCTTTGTCTGTAAGATATGCGATGCAGGTAGTTCACCAGCAGCAGTACGGATACATTACCTTGGAGAGTGGTGACGAAAGGCACCCATTGGAGCAGGCGGCGGGGGCGGGGTAGCTTCCGGGTGTCGATAGAGCTCCTTGTCCACAGATTAGCTGCCAATAGGTGAGGTTTTGCAATCATGATGCAAGCGCACGAAAGCTTTGCTGACTGAGCAACCTCGAAACTCACCATTAGCATCACGCAATTCTCAAGATTTCATGCGCTAGCTTTCTGCGCCTCTTGAGCCTCGGCTTGGCTAATTCTCCAAGTATCCAAGAAGGATAATTTGGAATATTAAGCTACGGCTCCGAGCTGCCATTCGGAGTATAGACTGGCGGCCTGGGCCCCTTTAACACCAAGTACCGAACTCCGGGACTACCGGCCGGGCCCCTGCCTTCGGGTGCCCCACTGTGTGACCCCGAACAATCTTGACAAATTCAACATCGGGGTCGGCCTCACTTGACTACTAGTCACATGCACCGGAGCAATCAACAAGCCGACTTTGATCTTTGACACGCTTCGTTTATACTCTCATCAGCGGAACGACTCTTATGATACAGTATTCTTGGCCACGATGCCCCGCGCAAACTCGCCAAACGTTATGTGCTGCTCATTGTCCACCTCCTCGCCGAGGTTCGGCTGAGTAAAGACGGCCAACGTGTTGCGTGCGACGCGTCCGTCGCTCACCGCTGCCCTGACTCCCCTTACGAAGTGTGGTACTGCCTTGAACTTACCGCCCGTGATGCGCTCTAGAGCTTCGCCAGTCTGGAAAGCGATGCAGTCCCGCGGTATCTTGACCTGTACCGTCTCTCCGCTCCGCGATTCGATGTACAACCCTGCCGACGGATCAGGAGACGCGGCCAGCTCTGACAGTGGTGGTAGGCTTGCTGAAGTGTTATTCGTGACTTCAGGTACCGCGGTAGAAGTTTCCTTCTCGTCGATGAACATGGCAGACGTTAGGCCAGTCAGACATCTACCGATTGTATTAGCATTGGCAGCTTCATTGCTGCGAGGGCCCACTTACCCATGATCTTTGTGTCTCGAGCACCTTGTATCTGTTAGTGGATTTCTGAAGGCGGTATCGATCTAGCGACTCACCAGTCATCGTCGGCTGCACCAATCTTGGAAAGAGCTTCTTTCGTCTGTGGATAGTAGTGCAGGAGGCGCGCTTTGGTCGTGTTCGATGTACTGACAACGTGCTCAAGGTACCCTTTGGTATATCCTGGGATCTCGGACTCGGCAAACCTGTCGCATGCTCGGGCTACTAAGACGGCCGCATCAATGATGACTCGGCAAAGACTCTCCACACTTGGCTTGAACCCCGGAAGGACGTCTTGTGAAGGCCAAATATTAGGCGAGAGGTACTCGGGAAAGTTGTTCTGGTTAAACTCGGCCGTCGGCTTAGCACAGTCGAGAGTTGCATCAACATAGAATGCGCAGTTGGCATAGTATGAACCCTTGAATGTGTCAACCTGGCCATTCTTGAGCGTTTCTTTACCCAGGGACCAGCCCGTCAGGTATTTGGCCTTTTCATTCTCCAGCTTGACTGCTCATGTGTAAGCAGGGGTGGGCAGACGGGCAGCAATTCGCATCGTACCCAGCTCTTCCTCAGGGAGGTTGCCCAAGTAAGATGCGTAAGATAAGGTCTGGTGCCTTGAATGAGTGAATTCTGGCGGTACATCTTTGACCACTAGGATGCCCAGAGATTCGGGTCCAAAGGCCTCTTTCAGAGTCGCGAAGGGGATGTTGCCTATGATGTGAATTTCACATGTAAGCTGCTATCCGATCAATTCTACGATCTCGATCCATGGTACTCACCCTCCTTAAGGTCGTTGAGAGACACAACAACCGGTTGTGCGATCTGGGCCATGGTGTTTATCTGGGTTGTAGAAGTTTAAAAAGGTAACAACGAATGAAACAAGAAGAATCCAGTCAGGTCGTAGGCTCATCGACAAGCTTCCGCGATACCACCTGCCGGGTCGGTAGGTACCTAAAAGGTGGGGGAGGGGCACAGGTAGCCCCTTATGTAATCACAACGTCCAAACGTCCCTCGAACTCTACTCATCACCATTTCCAGATCTCCAAAGGTCAAGCACGCACCCAAGATAGGCCAAAAGAAAGCCTACCGGTTATCGCCGAAAACCGCATCAAAGATAACGGACTTTCACCTTCTCCATCGAGTCCTGCGAGCGGAGGGAGAACACGAAACACGAGCGATACAACGCGATGGTCAAGCCCCTGTCCTTCAAGGGCGACAAGAAGCCCAAGAAGAGAAAGCGCGCGGAAGCCGAGGCGCAGGACCGCGACGCGCAGGGCGGGGAGGTCGTCCGCACCGGCGGAGCTTCCGCCTCGACGGCAAATGCCGATAATGACGACGATAGCTGGGTGTCTGCCGATGCTGTGACGGATGTTGTCGGACCCGTCATGTTCGTCTTGCCGACGGAGCCCCCTACTGCCTTGGCATGCGATGCCGTAGGCAAGATATTTACGCTTGGAATTGAGAATATTGTCGATGGCAACCCGTCTACGGCTGAGCCGCACGACGTGCGGCAGGTATGGGTCGTGAATAGGATCACAGGGACGGAGCAATTCAGGTTCAAGGGCCATCATGGACAGTAAGAGCAATCAGCAGGATGTTATTGACGAGGGCCATGTGCTAACGGGCCACAGATATCTTGGATGCGACAAGAATGGCGTGCTGTCAGCGACGTCGGCGGCTGTCTCGCCATTAGAATTTTTTAACATCATTGCAACGGCGGATACCCCTGGCACATTCCAAGTTCAGACACTACGCGATACCTTCCTTTCTGTCAAGCCACCGAAACCCAATGTTACCACCTCAGACGTTAGAGGCGACGAAGAGTCCATCACATTCAACACCACATGGCGTATCAGGATGCAGGCGAGGTTCAAGCCGCGGCTCAAGGCGAACAAGGAAGAAAAGGCGAAGGAAAAGATTAGTCGCAAGGAGCTCGAACAAGCTGTAGGACGAAGGCTCGAGGACGACGAAGTTAGGAAGCTGAAGAGGGCGAGGAGGGAGGGCGATTACCACGAGCAGTTGTTGATGTTGAAAGTCAAGGGAAAGCACGACAAATACGGCTGATTCGGGAGATGACTTTCTTGGGCAACATGAAAAGGGGGAAGACGATGATACCCAGACGCAATGAGGAACCATTTCACTTTCGTTCTTGAGATTTTTTTTATGTTTGCTTTCTTCGGTTCCTTGACTTACGTGGGCCTCCAAGCCTTGATGTTACCGTCTTCTCCAGCAGTGAAGACCACCTGTTCGTCATCGTAGAAGCAGAACGAGCGAACAATCTCTTCGCCGTGGCCTCCCGGCAGACCGACGCTGTTCGCCCTGTCGAAACCCCAGCTGCCTTCGGCCGTACGGGATAGGTGCACCAACTCAAAAACTTGACGGCTGTTTCACTCGTTAGTTACGCTTCTAACAACTCGCAAGTGAATAAAACTTACTCTTGTGAGCCAGCACCGACAATAGCACCACTTCCATCAACCTTGGTTGTCATGTTGGCAATGTACTGGCAGCCCAGAGTCTCTCTAGCATCGCCAAAGTCGACCAGAGCCGCGCCAGAGCCGCAATCCTCGGCGACGCTGTACACGGCCAACTTCTCGTCGTGGGTCAGCACGTAGACCTCGATGTTGCTTAGGAAGGAGGCGTGGTGGACAGAGCCCTGGTTCAACGTCTGGACGACGACCTCATCTTCGTCCGAAATCCGTGTGTCATAGACGTTGACGAGGCCATCGGTCGATCCCGAGAGGAGGATGTGAGATTCTGAAGGGTGGAAGCGGAGTTCTGTGACGTCGTCGCTGTGAACCTCGTCGTACTGGAGCCTCTGCTTCGGGCCGGCTCTGATGTCCCTGCAGAACGTGTCAGGGGTCCCGTATATTGGGGCGGTGGTGAGTAGTCGTGATTCAAGGAAGACTCACCAGAGTAGGACGGATGAGGTGTGGTTCTGGAACTCCGTGCCTAGCGCTATTGTGTTGCTTCTAGGGTCGCATGCCATAGACAATATGGGTGACTGAGTAGCTGAACGTCATGTCAGTGAAATTCGTTGGATATTTCACTCCTCAGAGTGAGGAAACATACCCGCAAAATGGGCAACCTGCGGCTTTGACGCTTCCCTCATATCCCAGACTGAGACCTCTCCATTTTCTCCCGCCGTGCAGAGAACAGAGTTTTGCCAGTCAAAGGTCCTGAGGCATGTCAAGTTGCCATGGTTGGTCTGGTACGACTTGATCGGGCCCTGTCCCACACGTGCGGGATCAAAGAGACTGAGTTTCTGATCTGATGAGATTGCGGATAGACCAGCGTTGAGACGTTGGGTGTCGAGAACATAAACATCGCCAAATCTATGGCCGTCAACGCAAGAGAGGTTGTACATTTCCACGGCACGTTGAGCTCTGGGTCATGGCTTATATGAGCATGGACCCTTGACCAAAAATTGAGATTTACAACTACTTACTGAGCGTTGATGGTACACAGCTTAGACAGCGCAAAATTTCTCCTTTATTCTATGACCGTGGCAAATTTGAAGGTTCCTGCTCGTCTTCTCACTTTCACCCGGCTGAGATCGAAATTTCGTCGATTGCAAAATTCGTAGAAACTTGAGCAAGATCCGCCAGTGAGCGCAGTGGAGGACTGGTTAATGGATAAGCGTTTTTACGCAAACCCCCGCTTTGTACAAGTACACAGCAGTCGGTACTAGCGCCCCTTTGCAGTGGTATTGCGTACCTGGCGTCCGGCTAAGTTAGTGACCAATCATGCTTCGTTTAGTGGACTATCCCTGTTCATTTGGAGCTCCCAGTTCCATCTACGTGGACCTAAAGCCAGGACAGCTGTTCTGAAAGCATCGAGCTGCGCAACTGCCAGAACCACCAGCTAATCCTCTCCCGACACCGCATATCTGCAAGATATAACATGTCGCGGAACTTTGCGCTCGAACTTGGCACATAATTACCGTTCGAGATGAGGCGTTCTTTGCTCTGGCTAGGCCGTAAGTTGAAAGCCACTACATCCAAACGGCTGAACGGGAGCTGACATATCCTTAAGTGCTGTTGCAGGCAGCCGCTGTATTCTGTGTCGACGAGCAAAAGGTCTTGAACGATCACGAAAAGAGTCACGACAGCGACGAAGGGAAGCATGCGAAAATACAAACGGATGTTATCCCGGAACACCACACCCCACCTCCGAGGCAGCCCGGTATGTACACTATTCGCGATGGTGGGGGAAATCATGGTTAACAGAGCTGATTTCCAATAGGAGCGGACTTGGTCGAACTCGCCATCGAACAATTGATTAAGCTTCCACCCCGAACATACCCGAGACGTGAACGCCGCTATACTGTCGTTTATACCGTGCTCCGATATGCCCTCAAAGTCGTGCCTAGCCTGAAAGCTGCGCCTGTCCCTGGCAGCCACCAGGCACAGGAGACCAAGGTCACAGGTCCGCTGTTGGAGGCTGTGAAGCTGTTGGAACAATCTGCTTTGCAAAACAACACGGACGCGCTATACCTTCTCGCTGAGATGAACTTCTATGGCAACTACACCTACCCGAGAGACCTCAAGGTCGCCTTCGACCACTACCATACTCTCGCGACGGTCCACGGAAATCGCACGGCACAGTACATGATTGGCCTTTACTATGCAACTGGCATTGGTCAGGTCGTTGCTGCCGATCAGGCAAAGGCGCTCCTCTACTACACTTTCGCAGCGATGCAAGGTGACACGCGCGCGGAGATGGCTGTTGGCTACCGTCATCACAGCGGCATTGCGACGCCGAAGAATTGTGAAGCTGCGAGCAAGTACTACAAGAGAGTTGCGGACAAGGCAATGGACTGGTATCGTTCGGGCCCACCCGGCGGCATGGCTTGGGTGGTTGAGTCGTACCGTATCGCTGATGAGCTTGGTGGAGTCTACGGTGAGGGTGCTAGCGCTTCCAGTGCCGGTATGAATGCTATCAAAGCGAGCCCCAACTCCGACGCCAATGCCGCCATCGACGATGTGATTGAGTACCTCGATCTCATGTCGCAAAAGGGCGACGCCAAGGCATCATACAACCTCGGAAGGATCTACTACGAGGGGCAGAGGGGTCTTGACCGGGATCTGGACCTTGCTCGCAAGTACTTCTTTACTGTTGCGAAACGGTACTGGCGTAAGGACGGCCGTATCATCGAAAACCATAAGCAGGGCATCGAGAAGACGGCGAGCAAGGCGGCTGGGTTCATTGGCCGCATGTACCTGCGTGGTGATGGTGTCGACCAGAGCTTTGATCAAGCAAAGAGATGGTTCGAGCGCGGCATCTCTCACGGGGATGCTCAATCCCAGCATGGACTCGGTCTCATGATGCTCTACGGGTACGGGACGCCAAAGAATGTTGCCATGGCCACCGACCTCTTCAAGGCAGCGGCGGAACAGGACTACGCTCCATCTCAGATCGAACTGGGCGTGCTCTACCTTGACCAGGGCGGAGCAGAGGACGTCCGTATTGCGAACAACTACTTTGAGCTTGCCGCCAGATATGGCCAGATTGAGGCCCATTACTATCTCGCCGAGATGGTGTACAATGGCGTAGGCCGCGACAAGACGTGCGCGATGGCCTTGGGCTACTACAAAAACGTCGCCGAAAAGGCCGAGCCGCTTGTTTCCTCGTGGGCCGAGGCGAACCAAGCCTACTACTACGGTGACGAGGAGCTCGCTTTCTTGGAATACGTCATGGCAGCAGAGCAAGGATATGAGCGCGCGCAGAATAACGTCGCTTTCATCCTTGACCCTGTCCAGTCACGACTTCCACTGCCTGACTGGCTGCCGCTTCCTGAGTGGTTCGGTCTTCAGCAACACACTCGCCCTAACCTACTCAACAACCCTAGACTCGCCCTCATGTACTGGACGAGGTCATCAAGGCAGTCGAACGTGGACTCTCAGGTTAAGATGGGTGACTACTACTTCCACGGAATTGGTTCGGAGCCGGACGTAAATAAGGCCGTTCAGTGTTATACGGGCGCCTCGGATTACTCGCAGAGTGCCCAGGCCCTCTGGAACCTTGGTTGGATGCACGAAAATGGCATCGGTCTGACCCAAGACTTCCACTTGGCCAAGAGATACTATGACCAAGCACTCGAGGTCAATGAGGAGGCTTACCTCCCCGTCACCTTGAGCTTACTGAAGCTCCGCCTCCGAAGCGCATGGAACACTTTCACACACGGCCCGATTCACTCAATTCAAGACGATCCTAGTAAGCTAACACGGCGCATCCACTGAGATACGTATCGGCTAACCACGCACATTAGAACCAAAGAAGGACTGGTCACTCAGCGAGTGGATTGCCAACTTCCTGCAAGACGACCAACTATTCTATGATGACCCGTACTATGAAGATATCTTCGATGACACCATCGGCGGTACGGGCCCAGACGGCGTGCCGCTGGAGGACGACGGCATCGCTGAGAGCCTCATCATCGTCTTCCTCGCACTGTCCCTGGTGCTTCTTCTCTACTACAGGCAGCAGAGGCAGCAGCAGCATCGCAGAGAGGAGGAGGCGCAGAGACGTCAACAGCTGGGGCAGCAGGGTCAGCCTGCCGCGGCACAACAGCAAGACCAGGGCGTTTTCCCTCCACCTGGAAACCCGGAATGGAACAACTGGGTCGCTGGCGGTATTGGACACTGAAACGTTTGTATGAATACGGATAAAAAGAAGTAGCTGCTGTTGGAGATGGGGTGTCAGATGGGTGTCGCAAGTATCAGCTGGGGAGGACGATTAAGCATATTCAGCGCCGGCGTTTGGGAATGTCCAGGGAATAGGACCTGTTTCCTCGAGACTCGTTACAATTCATGAAGTTACTCGCTACAGTCTTTGCCCACTGGGTTTCGTTGAAGAGAGGAAAGCACAGTCAAGGGCTTGATCATCAAGCCACTTGCCTGTTCCTTACTGCTGTGGGGTTTCAACTTTCCTTACGTTTGAACACTTCAAGAGCGATTTTTTCTAAAGCGAATGCCGATACTATTCTCTCAACTTCAGAGCATGTAGTTCTTCTTCCAACCAAGGTTTCTTTGTTTCGCTCGCTGCGTCCCAGTTGGCGTTTTGAGAACGCCTCTGTAGGGCTTTAGAGTAAGGAAATAAATCAGCTGCAGGAGGCAAAACCCTACCTATGTTGATGAAGCATTACTGTGCTGAAGTTGCCTGTCATGTAGCACAAAACGATCAGTCTCCTCTCGATCCTTTCGGAAAGCGTGTGGGGAAGTGTGAATATGTCTCGATACATGTTATCATGTCCTTAATGCTCTACTCATCCTTAGTCCGGTTCATAGTTTACTTCACCATCAGGTCTTTGAGCTGTGGGTAGTATGGGTAGATAAATTGGATGAAGCGTATTCTGCGAAGATTGTTGATGATCGACGACATCCAGCTTCGCGTGATCCCCCCAATGTGAATGGAATCATACAAAGCCTTGGGTCTACAGGGTTCAGAGACAGCTTGTGCGAGTCGATATATGCATTAGGCAGAAGGGGAGTTTGGACTCTCAAAACAGTTTCGTAACAATTTCCTTCAGTCCCTCCCACGGGCCCCTTTCTTGAGAACGGTTCAACCAAGAGCTCATCATCAATTCCCAGTTTTCCATGAAGAGAGAATGGAGACTAGATACTGACAGGCTTCTATCGAAGGCCTCTGTGTGGAGCATGGAGGTTTGCCGGAAGCTAGCTGTGCTCCAACTCACGCCCTCTTACCATAAACATCATCCAGATTCCCTACACGCAGCTTGTGAGACCCTATTTCTGATTAGGTCAAACCCGTTGTGAGGCTCTCATTTTTGGACACCTTCAAGAAAGCCCCAACGGTATGACAGAGTGGACACACTTGAAGACCAGAGACGTAAGAAGTTTTGATGCTGTAACGCGAGATCGTCCGAGTTGGAGCATGAATATGTCTGCGAAATCATTTTATCATTGTCTGACGGCACAAACCATCGGCTGAGCCATCACTAAGGGCGTTGTTAAGCTAACAAAGATCATATGCAGCGTTCACTTTGGGGTGGTGGTGGGGGGGGGGGGGTTGTGTGTGTGATATACCATGGTTAAGGCAGTTTGTTCTAGGTTCATGACGACATGGTTCGATATGATCCTCGACGATGCAGTCTCAATAACACTTCTCACTCCACGAGCACACGATATAATATGCTTCCTGGATGATGGTCTTCGTCAGCAAGGCCCGGCTTGATGTAGGACTCATTGTTGTAAGAGATTGAACAGAAAAGAAAAACTAGAAAACGCCAAAAAGCTCGCGGCTCGCCTGTTGCCGCCGCTGCCGGTATTGGTGTTGTGGAATCCTTTTTCTTCGCCGCATCGCGGTGCCCAAGTCGGGGGTGCCGCAGTGCCGTCGATCGCTGCAGGCTGGCCCGGAGGATCAGATCATCATCGACCCCACACTTCAGCGGGCGTTGGTGGAAACCGACTGTCAAATCACACATATGTACGGAGTATACCCGCCCGGCTCTCCACTGATGTATACAGGACGTGGCAGGATTGCCCCGTATTCGAACTACAAGTGGGCATTTTCTACGGAGTGCTTGTATAGGGCACTCTCGTATTGGATAGGTAGTATGTCCTCTTAAACACTCCCGAGTATTATT